TAAAAAATATTTTATTATTTTTATTTTATGTGTATGAGTATATTGCTTGCATGTATGCGAGTGTACCTGTTTTGTGCAATGCCGTGGAGGTCAGAAGAGGGTTTTGGATTCCCCTGGAACTGGAGTTAAGGATGGTTTGTAGCCGCCATGTGAGTGCTAGGAATCGAACCCAGGTCCTCTGCAAGGGCAGTCACTGCGCTTAACTGTTGAGCCATCTCTCCAGCCTCAGGTTTTAAAATTTTTTAAATATCAAAACTTCCACCCCTTTTCCTCCAGTCCTTGGGCCTGTGAGTGAACTTGGCCTCCAAAATCTCTATAAACAGGTTTTACGTTTGATGGCTTTCTCCTTTCGGGTACCTTATTCATCTGCAAAAATAGACGGATTCCCAGCAGTCAGGGCACAAAGGCAACCCTCTGCCTCTACTCTTTAATACTTGTGTCCTTGCTGTAGCTCAGCTTTTCAAGTCTTCACACAGAATGGAAAATTCTCTAAAGCATCCTTATGGTGTGCTGAGACATTTGTTCTGAAGCATAGTGAAGAATAGGACAAGATTAGGAAATCTTATGATTTGAAGGTGAAATGTCCCCACAGACTTATGTGTTTGAATACTTCATCCCTAGAGGTTGGTGTGCTCGTGTGTGTGTGTCTTTGTGTCTGTGTGCAGGTTGCCACATCTGCCGTGGCTGTGTGTTTGGAATTAAAGCAGCCATGCCAAATCCAGAGACAGCATTTTTTAGTGCTTATCTCCATCCTCCAGTTCTTTCAATCTTTTCAACTCTTCCATGATGACTCCTGTATCTTGGAGAGGGGTTATATAGATGACTCATTTAGTGCCGAGCACTCAAAAGTCACATATTCTCAGCAATTTGACCAGTTGTGAGTCTCTGCATTAGTCATTACTCACTGCAAAGAAGTTTCTCTTTCCCAAGCTGACAGTGACACTAGTCCAGGGGTATAAATGTAAATATTTAAGAGGAAGATTGGTTACATGTCCATTTAGTAATATGTCAGTAGTACATTTTGTCCTGAGGCCTGTTACCTCCCCACCATAGACAATTACCAGCTATGTGTTAACTCAAAGGAGCAGCTCTTAAATCCAACTAGAAAGCAATTGGTTATCTCCATAACAGTCATGCCACTATTGTATGAGTGGGCACATTTTGCCTGGCATGTCAGAATCAGCACAACAGAATCAATGACTTGAAAAGACTGTTGATGATTTTTCTTCCCAAAAAGACTGCATAGTACCTTCTACGAGCACTAGCTAGCAGGGAAAAGTTTCCAGCTCAGTTATTGCAGCCTGATTTGGTTATGTACTGTATCCAAGGTGTACGGGGAGAAGGTGATTGAAGTTAGGGAGAGCAAAGCACAAGTAGAAAATATTGGGAGTGCAAAGGTTTTAACAGGGATGGGGGCAAAAGCAAAGGAGAAAGGTAGAGGCTTGGGGTAGGGCCAATCAAAACTAAGGATGTTTGGAAAACAATAGAAACTTAGTAGTGTATAAAATAAAAAATATATATATATTTAGAAGTTTGAATGGAGGTACCCTGCATGCGTTGGTAATGTTGCCCCCAGAAATAACATATTTTAAAACAAAAAACCCAGTGCCAAGTCTGTGAAATCTCCCTATGAGTTGTTGGCAAGAGTCCTCAGGGAATCCCCAAACTATACAGGCTATTGCCATTGCTCTTGGTTATTCGCCAGAACTACATGTAAAGATCTTACTGCTCATATCCCCTATTCTTACTGTCTTGCTTTAGTGTGCATTTTTATAATTACTGATCAATAATGATGCATTAATGTTATCTAAAGCCCAGAGATTTCATAAGAGTCACTCTGAACAGTGAACTTGTGAGTTTTAACAAACATACAATGAAGCACACAGAATAGATGAATCACACTGAAGACCTCTGATACCTCTATTCAGCCACACCTCCCTGGCAAACTCTGATACTTAGTTTTACTTTTCTAGAGTGTTGTATGTATGAAATCATACAGTTAGCTTTTTATCAAGACCAAATTTTTAAATTTCTTAGAAATTTGTATTTAAGATTCTTCTATGACTTTTTGTGATTGATTGTTCATTTCCTTTTATTGCTGGATAATACGCTATTGTATGGACATACAAAGTTTGCTTGCCTACTCATTTATTAAGAGACAGCTTGGTTATTTCCATTTGGGGGCAATTATGAATACAGCTACTGTACACATTTATGTGCAAGTTTTCATGTGAACAGAATTTTTTTTTTACTCCGTTTGATAAACAGGAGTACTATGACTGGATCATATGGTAAGATCATCTTTAGATTTGTAAGAAACTTAAATTGCCTTCCAAAATGGCTGTACCAATTTTCAGTACCACTAGCAATGAAAGCTTCTACTGCTTTGCTTTGATAACCTTAAGCATTGTCAGTGGTTTGGATTTTAGCCATTTTATTATGTGTGCAATGGTTTTAATCTTCAGTTCCTTAATGCAATGTGTGTGTGTGTGTGTGTGTGTGTGTGTATGTGTTATAAGTCTGTTTGCCACCTGCCTATTGCATTACTTTTCTTGGGCTGCCAAGACCAAGAATCCTAAACAACAGAACTGTATTTTATTAAAGATACAAAGCCAAGATCAAGGGAGTAGCATGGCTGGTTTCTTTTGTGACCTTTCTTGCATCTAGGTGTCTGTATGAATTCATGTCCTCCAAAGCGATAGAACTAATAGGACATGTAGGCACAGATACTGGTATGTGAAGGAGGATTTATTCAGGTAAATGGCTTATGTAATCTTGTAGGCTGAGAGGTTCTACAACAGGCTCTCTGTAAGCTGGAGATCCCGGGATAATGCTAGTGAGGCTCAGGTTAA